GTCAATTTTCGGGACCGGATGTCATACAAGAGGTTCATCTCAACAAAACAGTACAAAAACCTTTAACTGAGGTATGCGTCAGAAATATATACCATATTCTATGATGGAAAGGGAGGGCAGGGGTTATAGGCTATCAATTAATACATTACATGTGCACACAGGGAGCACAATATGTCTTCTCATTTTTACCGCTGGTTTGCGGGACCAATGAATTGGAGATAAAGACAACTCATAGTCGACCCGTAGGAGAGGTGGCGGACGACGTGGACGCACGGCATGAGCGGCACCGGGAGTCCAATAGTCATATAAAGTTAATGGTCTGCGCCTATGAAATACAACTGATTGCCAATCACACCGATAATGATGGCGCCGGTAGTGATGGCTGTAATCATAATGAAACTAATTGTAAATCAAATTAATGTTAACTAATATTTAGGCCATTTATATTAATATTAATAATACTATTTATATATTTTTGACAGTGTTTTATAATTTATTAATTTTATTATTAATTATTCTGTTTGTTTAAATTTTAGTTGTATTTTAAAGTTGCAATTCTGTTATATAATATATAAATACGTATCAATTATTGTTAATATCATTGTTATTCTAATGGTTATAATAATTATAATTTGAACTTGTGAGATTATGTGAATTATTAGTTAAAATTTTTGTTAATTTAATTGTCATTTAATTAATGAAACTTTAAGTTATCGGATGTCTGTTTGAGAGAGAATATAAATGTCAGAAATGTATGCAAAATACGATATTTCCCCAAAAGTTCTTACGCACAGAATATTCTGTAAATAACGTTACGCTTATTACCGGTTGAGTTGTTTCTGGCGTAACATTTGCCGCACATAATGTTGTTTGTAATTATATTATATTCTGTTTTAATACTGTTTAATAAAACAAGATTATTCTGTTATAATACACATAACCAGTGTTTTTAATTATTTAATTTCTATAAATTCTAACAATATTCTAATTGTAAGTACAACAAAATTAAAAATTTTAATTAAATCTTTTTTGATTATATAAATTTTAATAATGGCAAAATACTTTAGTTATGTTCATTAAGTTTATATAAGTCATCACAAAATGTAAATATAGATGTACAGTATTTTGTAATGTTAATTAAGCATTTATTATAACAGATATTGTATAAAAAGTTTAGAAATGAAATTTTAAATATTTGAAACCCAATATGAAATTCGATAATAATATTGTGTTTACACATAAAATAATTAAGGAATACATATTTATTACTTAATTAATTGTTATTTATTAACTAAAATTCTAAACTTTTACACATTTTGGCAACATTATTTCAAACAAAATGTATTCAAACTTCAATTTATTGTTGTTTTTCGCAATTATTGGTAAATATATTAATAATTATTACAATAAAATAATTTGGAAACCAATTGAAGTAATGGCAATAGGAGTGAGTGATGGCATTCATTCAGTTATCCAACACTACCCTAACGTTACGGACAGTGACTGCGGAGTGGGTCGGGAGTCGATGCTTATGGATAACCAGTGCTTTAAATATCACAAAACACATGCTTCGAGTCCTATAATGAACGGGAGGAACGCCACCGCCGGGGAAATGCCTTTTACGGCTTTAATTGTATCATTTTCGACAAACATCACCACTAATATTACGTAAATATTAATAACATAGAGAATCTAATTATTAATATTAACACACATACTTTACTAACAATTGTACTAGAATTGTATTATTAGAATGTATTAGAATATACTCAACAATATTTCAATAACAGATATTCAATTATTTATATGTATTATTTAGCGATAAACAAAAACCTCAATTTTGCACTGGGTCAATAATCAACAAATCATGGATTATAACTGCCGCCCACTGTTTTAAGTAAGTTGAGAGAGAGAGAGAGAGAGAGAGAGAGAGAGTAGTACGGCCCGACCCGACACGTACTGCACTAATGGTCCCCCGGAATCGCCCTAACAGTCAATGCATCACATTTTAGTGGACAGAGAGAGAGAGAGAGAGAGAGAGAATTCGTACAGTAATATCATATACAGTCAACTTCTCCATAAGGAACGGTCAGTTGCACGGCAAAAGTGTTCCTTATATAAAGGGTTTCTCCAATGGAGGTTCTGTTATAAGTATAAAAAATCCAAAATATATTTCAGATCCGTTCCTTTAAAGGAGGTGTTCCCTCAAGAGAGGTTGCACTGTATTGTGATATAATTACTCTATCATGTTTATGTATGGCAACTGTTTTGAATTATTGAACGCAATATTAATATTAATTTACATAATATATTCTTTGTTTGTAATAATAGCTGCAATTCAACGGACTATATCTGTCCGCATACGACCAAAGCATTTGTCGGCCTTAAAGGTCTCAATGATTTCCCAAACCCTAATAACCCGAATGCTCCCCGAATACCCGGGTATGATGTGGTCGACATTCACATCTTCCCACTTTTTAAACCCGGTCTTTTTTACCACGACATCGCTCTCATTCGTGTCCAACCGGACATCGCATTCACGGATCGGCTCGCAGTCAACACCGTATGTCTACCGAAGCCCGGAGTGGAGAACTCGGACTCCGAATACGCTCTAATCAGCGGTTGGGGCGTAACAGACACTAACGGTTCAATCGATGAAATAATGTTTGGCAGACCCATGGCTTGGGTTAAAATATTGGCCCCAAAGTATGGCCCGGGAATAAACTATTCTTTTACTATTGACGGTTTTGTAAATTCAAAGCCTAATAGTGCAGCCATTTGTAAGGTGAGATAATGAGCTCTCTCTCTCTCTCTCTCTCTCTCTCTCTCTCTCTGTCCACTAAAATGTGATGCATTGACTGTTAGGGCGATTCCGGGGGACCATTAGTGCAGTACGTGTCGGTTCCTTATGGAGAAGTTGACTGTATATGATATTACTGTACGAATTCTCTCTCTCTCTCTCTCTCTCTCTCTCTCTCTGTCCACTAAAATGTGATGCATTGACTGTTAGGGCGATTCCGGGGGACCATTAGTGCAGTACGTGTCGGGTCGGGCCGTACTCATTGGCGTAGCGAAAGGAATCGTCTCAATGGATAACTCAACGGATGCCCAACAACTCATTTGCGCGAAAGCGGACCAAAAGGTGTTTATGGTATGGACTCGAGTGTCAATATATGTGCATTGGATTCACGCAGTGATCACTGATAACCGCCCATATCTTGATATGCTTTATAATCTTACTGCATCAGGGTGAATCAACAATTTGCATACAGTATAAACCATGTTATTTTTATGGATCGGCAAAATCTTAGTTAGCATAAAAATATTCTTTTAATAAACTAGTATAACTAGTATAATTATAAGTAAAATAGTATAATTATATATTAATATTTATAAATTTCTATTAATTTCTAAAAAAATTACTTTCTTATTTTATTATGTTGTTACATATTGTATTTTAATTAATAATGTTTTAAATAAAAATAAATATAATTAATTATATTATTTTCTTAAAATTGTATTGAATTGCTATTAATAATGTGTAATATGTAATTACTTTTACATTATTAATTAATACTTTTAATAATTATTAATTAAGCAATATAATGTAATTAAACTTTATGTGATATAATTGCCATAATTAGCACTTATTTTGCGAACTCTCCCCGTTTTCAACGCTATCCGAACCTTTTGTATCGGTGCCGATGTCTGCGGTCCGGGTTTTTGCCATTTTCTCTATCGTTTAAACCATTTGATAACCAATTTAAATAATTAATACCAAAATTTTATATTAAATTTTTTTTACAAATTTTAGATTTTATGATTACCATGTTTTGGCATAATTTAACACAAGTTAAATTTTTATATTCATTTTATGCTTATTAAAATAAGCAAAATTACAACAATAATATAATTTATATTATATAAATTATTGATCGGATGTCATACAAGAGGTTCATCTCAACAAAACAGTACAAAAACCTTTAACTGAGGTATGCGTCAGAAATATATACCATATTCAATGATAGACAGGGAGGGCAGGAATCACAGGATATCAATTTGATCGGATGTCATACAAGAGGTTCATCTCAACAAAACAGTACAAAAACCTTTAACTGAGGTATGCGTCAGAAATATATACCATATTCAATGATAGACAGGGAGGGCAGGAATCACAGGATATCAATTTGAACATTACATCCGCACACAGGGAGCACAATATGTCTTCTCATTCTTACCGCTGGTTTGCGGGACCAATGAATTGGTGATAAAGACAACCCATAGTCGACCCGTAGGAGAGGTGGCGGAAGACGTGGACGCACGGCATGAGCGGCACCGGGAGTCCAATAGTCATATAAAGTTAATGGTCTGCGCCTATGAAATACAATTGATTGCCAATCACACCCATAATGACGGCGCCGGTAGTGATGGCTGTAATCATAATGAAACTAATTGTGAATCAAATTAATGTTAACTTATTTTTAGGCCATTTATACAAATATCTATAATACTATTTATATATTTTTAACAGTGTTTTTTAATTTATTAATTTTATTATTAATTATTCTGTTTGTTTAAATTTTAATGTATTTTAAATTTTCAATTATGTTATATAAGATATAAATACTTATCGATTATTGTTAATATCATTGTTATTCTGATGGTTATAATTATCATAATCATAATATTATTATAGAAATGTTAATTAATTTGTATTAGTATCAAATGATTCTATCGTATTCCATAGAATATAGTCAAATTAATCATGTTTTATAAATTTATAAATTATTTTTATTTTAATAAAATCCAAACAATTCATAGATTTATGTGGGAATATAAATAGTATATCATTTAAAATAATAAATCTGATAATATTCTGAGAAATTATAACTAAAAATTAACTATAAATATAATTATAAATTAATAATGATACATGTAAAATTAAATGTAATGTATGTTTGTTTAGGATTGGCATGTTTTCACTAATCATTTTAAAAAATATTAGTTTGACAAAATAACAGTAACAAAGATTTTGATAATGAAATCCATTAATAATTAAAATTTTTAGAATAATTTAACACTAAATTATAAGTATATAAACATGTGTTATGAGATATAATCCACAGTTGCTATACCAGATTTACTGTATATTACCAACCCGATTGTGACCAGAACATTGTCTACACTAAATTGTCAATAATGTATGTTATAAACTCTGCTAAGAATGGCAATGGTATGGATGTCGGTGTAACACCAGCACCGCCAACATGGTATATACATGTAATTGAGAAACAAACCACAATCACAAACAACACTTATTATGGAATTATATTTGGCTTATTTTTCGCTATAGTCGTTATGACAATTGTGCTCAAACTTCGTAAGTATTGTTCAAATTATTTATAATTGAATTCAATGTTAATTTGATAAATTAGATTCTAATATTGATACTTGACAACACTTGGTACTTGACAAATTCTTCTATAACTGTAATTATTTTCAATTTCCCATAGACTCCCATAGACACTCTTTTATAAAACCCATCCAAATCTCTAGGAAACTCTCTCTCTCTCTCTCTCTCTCTCTCTCTCT